ATAAATCCAACCCCATTTTGGCCACACCCTGAATCTTGGTCACAAACTGAGACATCATTCTGTTCACAGATTGAGCCCTGATTCTGTTTACACACAGAGCCCTGACTTGGATCACAGACTAAGCCTTGACTTTGATCACACACTGAACCTTGACTTTGACCATAGATTGAGCCCTGACCGTGAATATAGGCTGAGCTCAGAACTTGAGGTCAGACTGTGATCCAGGTGACAGACTCTCTTCCTCTGAGCTTCATTCTTTGTCTCTCGTACTCTCTGGTCACCTCTGCTTGATATTTCCACTGCGCTCCAACCTGTCTTCCTTTTCCTCTTCCCTCTCGTGTCCCCATGTCACGGTGACAGTCCTGTCCTCTCTCTGGGCTGGCAGGACACCTGGAGACCAACCCATGCCTCCTCACTGCCCTTCAGCACCGAGCCCTGTCCACTTCACTTCCACCCCCTACACTTCTCTAGTCCATCCACCCCCTCTCCTTCACCCTGACGCTCTGAATTTCAGCTCCGTTATTGCTGCCTCTGTACAGTCACACCTCGTGGGGTTTGTAACCCAGAGAAACCACACGTGTCACCGTCCTCAGCTGCCCACCTCTCCCCTCCAATTCCCTTCTGTCCTGGTGGCCGGTGCATCTTCAAGGCATGATGTTCTGGTGTTCACTCCCCTTCATTGTTTCCTACCCCCATAGACCCCAGTCCCCCTAGGATGACATCCAGTGCCCTTTCCAGACGGCCCACCCAACGCTCCTCACTTGCATGAGCCCCCAGCCCACTATACTCTGTTTCTCTGCACAGTCCCAGTGGCGGATTTGGGACCTCTCTGCACCTTCTATCTGCTTCTTCTTGTGCTGTAGTCAGTTTACTTGCTCCCTCTTAGGCCAGTAATTGGCAAACCATGGCTTACAGGCCATGCTGGGCTTGCAGTCTTATGTCAATAAAGTTTTATTGGCTCATAGCCATGCCCATTTGTGGACATGGAGTCATAACTTCTTTCCAACTTGACCTTTAGCCGTGATATGATTCATTTCAACATTAGCAGAAAGTAACTGAGCAGTGATAGAGTGTCGTAGTCAGATCAGAGTTCACTGGCTTATGAAACAAAATTGACACAATCAACAAACACCCTTGCCACCACAATTGGGAGATCAGGTGGTCTGGTATTAAGAATCTGGGCTGCAATCCCAAAGGCACGTGGTTCAAATCTGCCAGTTGCTCCGGGGGAGAAGGCTGGGCAATCTCCTCCCTTGTGATTGAATCTCTTCCCTCTGAAAACCTGCTGGAAGGTCAGCTATGGATCAGTTCTGACTCGGTGGTACACAACAACAACACTGCATTGGGGAAGTCCGTAGCTAAGGGCCCTTCCAAAGTCCTGAGGATCAGTGCTGTCAGTTTGAAGACTAAGATGCACCTGATACAGGCCATTGTCTTTTCAATCACTTGCTATGAGTGTGAGAGCTAGTTGATGAATAAGGAAGATGGAAGAATTTATGCCTTTGAACTCGGGTATTGGAAAAGAGTATAGAATATCCCGTGGACTGCCAAAGAAAACAAACAGATATATCTTGGAGAAAGTACAGCCAGAGTTCTCCTTGGAGACAAAAATGGTAAAGCTTCATCTCACCTACGTTGGGCTTGTTGCTAGGAGAGGCTATTCCTTGGAGAGGAGAGTCAGGCTTGGAATGGTGGAGGGTCAGCGAAAGAGAGGAAGATCTCCAACCAGGTAGATTTCCATAGTTACTGCAGCTATGGGCTCGAGTGTCTGATGTCAGTAAAGTCAGAGATGAAGAGGACGGCACAGGACAGAGTTCAGATTTCTTGTTCATAGGGTCTCTGTGGGTCGTACTCTACTTGATGGCACCTAACAACAAGAACAACAACGAAGCAGGGAATATTTATGCTCTGGCCCTTTACCCAGCCAATATCCACTGCAGAGGTCTGGCTGGGTGCTTTTAGCTCGCTGGGTCCCCAGCACTGCAATTGTAGTAAAGTCTCGCATGGACTGGCCACTTCTAGCACTAAGTACATCACGGGCTATTCCTCATTCTGTCCTCACAACAAGCCCAAGACCCCACCTTGCGTAAAACAGAAACTGGAGTGACTTTTCCCGGGTCACAATAAATGATAGAAGGTGGAATCTGAACACAGGTAAGCACAACTCTTAGAGGAGGGTTCTAGAGTTTGGAGAGCTCTGGTGGCCTAGTGGTAAGAAACTGCACTGCAATCCCAAAGTTGCACTGTTTGAATCCACCAGTGTCTCTGTGGGAGAAGGATAGAGAATCTTCTTGCATGCAATTTATAATCTCTGAAAATCCACTGGAGGGCCAACTATGGGCCTGCCTGACTCGCTGGCACACAACAAAGGGAAGCCTCTTCCTCTACCAGCCCTGTCAGACGTCAGCCCACCCTCACAGCTCACTACTCCCCCACCTGCTGGCCTCAACCTCTCTAGACGAGGAAATGGGGTGTCAGGAGTGGGGTAGAAGTTCATCAAGTCTGGTGGTAGGTGGGCAGCTTGATAACCCCTGGCTGATGCCCTCATTCTTCAGTGTTGACATCTGCCGATGGACGTCAACTCTGAGTCCTGGTCCTCTGTGAATGGACAGGTTGCTGCTTCTAACCCTGTGCTGCTCCTTGGCTGAGGGATGGGGCTGCTGCTTCTGTAGAGATTGGAGACCCTGTGTAACCCCGTGGGGCAGCCCTGCTCTGTCCCTCAGCACTGTGATGAGTTGATAGCAACTTGATGGTAGTGATTTTGGGGGACATTTCTCCAGGCTCTTTGACTGCCCACTTTCACAAGTCTACTCATTTGGTCAGAGAAGAGCATAGCAGTGACCTCTGAACACAACTCAGTTCAAATCCTGGCTCCTCTAGGATGAACTTGCTGTGTGACCTTGAGTCAGTCACTGAACCTCTCTGAGCCCAACTGCATACAGCATGGAGCTAACAGGTCCTGGTATGGTGCGAGGGCTCAGTCAATGACACTTGCATCCTTATGAAGACAGTGTTACAGCAGCCCAGACCCCAGGCCGCCCTCGCTCTCCCCAGCCCAGCCTCCAGGTGATATTCCTGCCTCCATGCCGACCCCAGCACAGTGCCTGCCACACAGTAGGTCCTCAGAGTCTGTGGAATGAATGGGCCTCTGTCCTCTATGGGAACTCACTGGGAGGGAGCCAGCCAATCGGCTTGTGTTTGAAGCTGACAAGACTGACTGGTGGGGTTCGTACAGAAGAGGGACAGGGTTAGAATGAAATATCTCAGTCACAAAAGGACAATTACTAGGGGAGCTCTGGTGGCCTAGTGGTAAGGAGCTGCAACTATAATCCCAGAAGCGCACGGTTCGAATACACCAGATGCTCTGCCGGGGAAGGAGGGACAATCTCCTCCTGTACCAGTCAGATCTGATTTGATGGTACACTCACACAAAAATAATAAAATTTAAAAAAACAAAACAAAACAAAAGGACAAGTACTGCATAGTGCCACTGTTGTAAAACGGGACTGACATAGGGGCTGAGGGAAGACAGAGAAGGAGGGGAGGAATGATGTATACGGCATTGAAACAGATGAGGGAGAGAACTATTTAAAAGGGATATAAGATTAGGTATTATTGTCATGACAGGAGTCCAGAGTGAAGGCTGCACAGTAGAGTGGACTTGGGGGGAGGTATTGCATAACAATGAAAGGATTTTTCTTTTTCTTTTACTTTTCAAAGAGAAGAATGAACTGGAAGGGAGGCATGAGCAGGGAGAAAAGTGCAACAATGAATGTCTGAAAATCCAAAATCTCTGTCAATTTTCATTAAAATTAATAATAATATTAAAAATTTTCTTTAAAAGAAGAGGGACAGGGACACGGAAACTCCAGGAGGATGTGGGTGCATGACCAGATGCTCCCCCTCTGTTCCTAAGCTGCCTTGTGGTCCTGGACACCATCTGGTTATTTCTGGGGGTTAAATAGCTTTAGGGAGCTCTGGAGGCTTCATGGTGAGGAAAACACAAAGAAAGGTACATGGTTCGAATTCACCACCTGTGCTATGGGAGAAAGGTGGGCAGTCTCCTCCCATGCGCTTAGCCACCTCTGGAAACGCACTGGAGGGTCAGCTACGGGTCAGTTCATAGAGCACACGACGACAACAGGGCAGGCCACAGGGTGGCTGTGAGCTGGGGTCGACTCCGTGGTAGCTAACATAACAGTCCAGGGTTGACGTGTTGTTTTTGCGATGTGCCATCAAGGCCGCTATGACTCAAAGCAACTCTATGAACAACGGCTCTATGAACCTTGCCCCAAGCCTGAGCTAACCTCACCGTTTCTGAGACCCCTGACCCCACTGCCGTCTTAGGAGTAGGAATCAGTTTAGCAGGAAGGAATTGTTTACGTGTGTATGCGAGTGTGTATGTGTGTATTTGTAAGTGTGACAGTGAACGTGCGTGACTGTGTGTGCGCACGAGGTGAGCCTGTAAGGAGCCCTGTTGCTATGACAGTTAAGCACTCGGTAGTTTATAGAAATGACAGCAGTTCAAATCCACCCCGTGACTCCGAGGGAGAAAGACCTGGCCATCTGCCTCAGCAAAGATCACAGCTCAGGAAGCCTCCCAGGGCAGCGCTCCTGTCACAGCATGTGTCCCCCACGGCTGCCTCTCCACATCTCTGGCCTGGGAGCTGGCACTTCAGGGATCCCTGAGGAACTCTGGGGCCCAGCTGAGGGGATGAAGCATCCTCAATTGCACCGTATGGGCAAAGTTGGAGGTCCATCTTCTCTGGGACAAGAGGAACCCCAGACTCTGATCAGACTCAGCATATTGGAGATCCTGGGATCTCCTGGGGCCTTGAGCAGGACAGCAAAAACCAGAGCCCCCCAGTGACAGGGCTTAAGAAGGGGCTGGGGCAGGCAGGGTCTGTCCCCCTGGGACGGTGGGCAGGCTGTCCAGGGCCCTTTCCAGGGACAGCCTGGATGATGTGGGCAGTGCCCACTGGTCACCGCTGCCCCCTTACCTCTCTTGAAGGCCCACTGCTTCAGCCACAGCTTGGGGAAGGCCGGCCAGGAGTGGTTGAGCACCGAGTCAGCCATGGGGGCCGCTTGTCTGGGGGCTGTGGGAGCAGCTCAGGGATGTGGCTGGAGCGCAGCCGGGGAGCCTTGCCAGGGCCGCGCTGCCCGTGCGAGGGCGGAGCCTGCACCCCCCTCCACCCCTCACTGCCAGATACATCAGCTGATGGAGCCTGGGCTGTCAGGGAGCTGGGATTGCCAGTCTGGGGTCCCTGTGTCCCCAGCCTGGAGGAGGCCAAACCCTTTGTCCTCGGTCCTTAGGGTCTCATGTTCTGACTTGGGCATCCATACATGTCCCCAAGAAGAGAGGGAGAGAGCTATGTGAGGAGGGGAGATGGAGACTTTGGGGGCCCTCAGAGACCAAGTACAGCGTGGGCCCTGAGGGGCTGCATGTCTGTGTGTGTGTCTCTGGGCATTAGTGTCCGGCATAAACCTGCTGCAGTCAAAGCAGATCTTACCCCCCCCCACCCCCTACAGGGCCCCCCAAGACCATGATTCTCACAGAAGCAGACAGCTACAATGCAGGGCAGCTGGAGGGTTCTAATGAAGGACCTTTTGGTTAACAGCCCAGTGCTTAAGCCCTCGTGCCACCAGGACCTCTTGTGTCAAATAGAGAGTGTGTGTTTTGAGGTCTCTATGTGTTTGCATACAAGCCTTGAGGTCAGTTCACTGATATAAGCCAGTACGTGCACGGCTACCCGGGCGAGGCTCTGTACAGGAGTGTGAAGGCGTGAGTGTGAGTGTGTGAGGGTTGTGTAAGCACACTGCCGCTGTGGGGTCTGCCCTCTGTGGCTCCTCTCTGGGTCCCCACTCCTGGGATCCCTGAGGGTACGTGATCACTGGCTGGCTGTGTGTGCCTTTTTCTGTGCCCCGGGGTTGACTGTGAAAGGAGGGGTTCTGTGAGCTCACACCCTCCAGGCAAGTGCTGCCCCCTGATGGTGGCTGTTCTCTCTCATGCATCTTCACTCTGGACTTGGATGGAAAATGTGTGGCCTTGTCACAGGTGGACACCCTCGTCCCATCACAGAGCCCTTCCTGGGACCCTCCCAGCCCTGAACCATCACAATAAAAAGGAAAGCCACAATTCAGTACCCATCATGTATGCCTGTTCTTCCAGACCCCCCGACCTTCTCTCTCTCACATGCTTGGAGGACACTGTCACCTTTCCTGTACCCTTTCTTCTCAAACAGCATTCACACTCCTATATATATA